CCCTAGGTGCAGTGACTAAGAGCGGCATCTACAGTAACGCTGTAGATCGTTCTGTATCAGACTCCAATTTTTTGCAGTGTGTGTTCCATAGTCATTTCCCCCTCGACTCTAAAGAAGTTCAGCTGAGCGAAACAGAGGCGACGCACTGCAGTGACTGACTGACTCAAATATGACCGAAGGAATCTGTCACCTGCTGTTCCTGCCCTTACCCTCTTACCCTTCCGCCTAGCCTGCCTCCACCAGTCCACCAGGCAACACGCCGGTGGCGGTAAGGAGAGCAAAAGGACTGCTGACCTACGGCTGACTCACTGACTCATATGTCTGGGGCGGAGGCTGGCGCTGATACGAAGCGGTCTCCTTGTGACCATACCGCACTTCCTCGGCCAGCGAGCCAGTGCGAGGAGTCACAACACCCCCTCCTCCCTCTCCCAGTCCTGCGACGCAGTCCAGCGGCCATAAGCGCCGCGCCCAGCTATGCTGAGAAGTCATATTATAAGACCTGACCCCCGCATCGCATCATTATCAACGAATTAAGTGGGCCCGTCAAATATATCCCATGTAACGAGTAAAATGTATCGACGTTACCTCTCGTTACTGACGAGGGTAACGATAACGCGTTACCGATACAGCCCAAATGAAAATGAAACGCGTTATCGTTATCGTTACAGTAACGAGTAACGCGTTACAGTAACTTCGTTACTGCGTTACTGTAACTTTAACAACCCTGGTCGAGCCCGCGTCCATTATTTGAGTCCCATTCGACGCGTCCTAACAACAATGTTCTATCTGAAGCGTGCGGATTTCACAATGTTCTATCTGCAGAGTGCGGATTACACAATGTTCTATCTGCAGCGTGCGGATTACAGAATGTTCTATCTGCAAAACGCGGGTTTCGGAACACCTTCAAAGAAATGCTTATTACTCCGTAACCGCTCGTTCTACTTCACTTTTTGCAGTCAATAATTAAACATTGGACCTTTACGATTCTTTCGGTGTGCTCAGATTGGCCTTAATGTCTTCCTTGCAAACCACGCAAAGATGAAGGGCTGCGCCTAACCCCGTTTTGCAGATAGAACATTGTGTATTCAGCACTCTGCAGATAGAACATTGTGTAATCCGCACGCTGCAGATAGAACATTGTGTAATCCGCACGCTGCAGATAGAACATTGTTGTTGGGACGCGTCGCACTGGTCAGCCTCTCCCTGCCTTCGCATCCGAGTCACGCTGTGTACGTTGAACTTTAAACAAATATTTTTGAAAAAATTGGAACCGTTTTCTGATGACAAGCAAGCCCCTGCTGTATTTTTTCGAGGCATACTTCCGAGGGGGCCACCACTCGCGTAATCCTGTGTACAGATGAGGGTGTAATCCACGTAATCATTATCTATTCCATATAATCCTTAGCCAAATTTTAAAATATTATCACTAAATTTTACCTTATCGGCCAAATTTGATGGTTTTAGAGCCCGAAATTCAACAAAATTCCATGTAATCACTGAAAATTCACGTGTAATCCATGTAATCGCGTAATCCTGTGTACATCCTCAATCGATGTGGCGGCCCCCTCGCATACTTCCCTATTTTATTAAGATAAACTGAAGTCCTTCTCTTGGAACAGACAAACAGAAAATCCAACAAACTGACTCCAGGTCTATTGGATAAGCCCGCTCGGAAGCATTTTCAAAGCAAACGGGTAGGCCAACAAAGCAGTAGGGCGGGCAACGGCCACATTTCTGGCAACGTATTTCAGAAAGAATGCTTCTCGGAGTTCTGACTTGTCTTTTAACGGTGGAGATATTTCTCTGTTAGCAGTCGCTGTCTCCGTCTTCATAGCTCGCCGGGATCTGCTGGTCGGCTGTCGGTCAGCTTTCCGCGGCGCGGGGACGCTCGTCGTGAAGCTCGCCGTGCGTGTTGCCGCCATTACCGATGCAGCACTGCTCTCACGCCTTCATTAAACGTGCATGTGTCAGTGCGTGCAACCGTAGTCAGCACCGGTGTTGGCTGATGTGCCCGATATCCGGAAGCACATCTATCGGCGCAGTGTGCGGCATCATTTTGGCTCAGTGGACCCGGACGGAGCATGGAATCTACATCGACAATGGTTACAAATTTACCAGTACCCTGTAAGTGACGTAAAGCAGATTGAAAAGAGGAACAGCAGTTCGATTTGGGATGTACACAGGATTACGAGATTATAGGGATAACACTCGAATTATGAGGAATTGCAAATGAATATGGTTGAATTTCTGCTGCTAAACCAAAAAGATAAATTTAGTGGCATTTTTCTTATAATTTGGCTAAGTATTCTAAAAAAATCATAGGAATTACACTGTGTACACAGGTTTGCGGGAGCCATGGCCCTCTCGGCAGATTGTTATGACAAATATCTACGAAATATGCCATTTACGACTGACCGTCCTCTTTGATGATTTCTTTGTAACGCTTGTGTGTTTGTATAATTTTGAACTGTAATCTATTAAGACAGTTTAGTGGAAGCGGTTCAACCTGGACTACCACTAGCTGTATGCATGGACGCCAGACCAAGTCTGACGGAACAGTCTTCGCGATATCTTACGTAACACTGTTAAGCTGCGACGCTGACATTCAAAACGAGTGAATAAGAAAGTGTACGGGAAGGGGGTCTCGCTTGCAGCCAAAAACTTTTACATGCTTACACCATCTGCCAGGGAATCATCACTCTAAAATCAGGAAAACGAAATTTCACATATTTAGGATAAGTTTTCATTAAACGATTTAATTTTGTCAGGTTCTCATGTCAAACAAGTTGGCCCTTCCATAAAACGAAGTTGCCTGCTTCATTTTACCCCGCCGGCAACTCCGTTCGGCAGGGCCCGGGCCTGCTCGGCCTGTCGGCAGCGTTTGTCGGGCCTGCGGTCCGACTTTCAATTCGCTCTCATAGAATTAGTAACTTAAGACTCCAGGCAATTATAAACTTAAGGTGACACAAGACTGAAACTGGCATAAAACAGGTTAAACAAGTTAAAAATGTAAATGCGAATTAAATCAGAAAAACGCTTTCCAAAGCAATTTAAGCTAGTTCATTGCTGTTCTTTTAAGGTAGTATGCCTACGGTTGAACGTGACTGTGTGCGCAATAAGCTTTTTAAAATTTCATAAAGTTATGACGTTTTCTACCTTAAAAGAACCGCAATGATCTAACTTAAATTATTTTGTGGAGCGTTTTTTTATTTAATGAGCACCGTGACTGCAAACCAGCCCCCTGCTTAGAAAGAGTTTTTTTTCCTTCTTTTGAGGGGAGGGGGGGTTATCACACTTCGCGTTTTGAGGCCTCCATGTACTTAAGGGGGCAGACCTGTGAAACGCAAGGGTCGAGGAGAATCGCAACTACAAGAAAACTAAGTATCGAAGCCCTTTCAAAGGCTGATACTTACAAAAAGCAAGGATTGAGCTACATTTTGATGTATAGAACGTTTGCGTGCTACTCCGGGAACATGATCATCTTTGTCTCGAAGTGGAAGGTTACATGCCTTCTCCGTGTGCAGGACTGCAACGGATGGACCTAGGACAATGACAAAAATGCTCATTTACTCAGAAAAGATGTAGCTTTCGTTTGACGAGAGCGATTTTAACATTTTTTTAATTTTCAGTGTGTGAAAATTTTTTCCAAAGTTTGGGTACTTAAGTTTGGAGTAAAAATTGGTTACTTTGGCCCCTCTTTTGGTACTTTAGAAATGATATATCAGAATTCGCTCTCGTCCCGACCTCATAGCCAGACTCTCTGAGACACGACGACCTTCTAATTTTCAACTGTCGTACTATGATTGAAATTTGGTGACGACAGCGCTCTTACTTAGTGTAAAGCATTTATTCACTGCACTCTCGTTTACATGATAGTGACCGCATTACCATCTCAGGGGGTTTCTACTCGCGCAATACACTGTACACCTATTTTAGGTACGCGAAATGTGATGTAAAACTTAAAATTAGTGAAATGTGCCCAAAAATTGAAGAAGTTTGATTTCGAAGCCTGTTTAACACCGGCGTAAAACCGCATGATACTCGTAAGATGTGTGCACACTGTACACAATATTTTTAAGTGCATGGAGTAAAAACTCTAAGCAGTGAGAACTCCAAGTGACAACTCCCTCGTTACCATCTTCCTTATCCCTTGTGTCGTGTCTTGTCGCAACTACTATACTGGCTCACGTGGGCGCTCCGAAAAGTGCTCCATTCTCAGACTTGGGGGAGTTGGTTTTGGGCCTTTTAAGTGATACTCAGTTAACTCTTCAAATTAGTCAACTTGTCATTCTGGTTGTTTGCGTTAACGGCTCTAATATTATATTTTAATTGTGCCCATTTCCATGAAAAATCAGCCTGTGCAATGGAGGAATATCTCAGTGAGTGGATGCAACATATGGGTGACCGGCGGAGTACTCCCGCACGACCAATGTTGAAGATTTTACGTCTGCTACGAGAATCATGGGTTTGTGCCTACAGGCCTTAGTATGGTATTTATTAAAGCCAGCGTCGAGACTCAAGTCCCAGTGGCAGGCAACCGCACTGGGCGGAGGAGAAGGATTACTTCAGTGCACTTTAAAAAAGTTTCCCCTATTTTACGAATTCCGAAGATTTACTCCGATTATTGATACTGATTAAAACTGCTGGAAGCACGCAAGTGGCCATTCGCCAGGCAACCAGACCTACGCAGCTCAATATGGCAAAGGCTAAACAAATTTGCAAAGTTTTAATAGTGGAATATCGGTCCCTACAAGTTGACAGAAAATAGAGCTAACACAGCAGACGTTTTTCTGCAAAGTTCCCGGTTATTTCCGGAAAATTTCCCAGTTTCCTTTAGCGCATGCGCGGAGCAAAAGAGGGCGATTTTTAATTGTTGAAGTCTTGTATTGCTTACTCAAACAAACTATTATAGTTTTTAGCAGTAACCTGCTAGTTACATGACCTTGAGTGAACTGAACAAATGTGAGATAGTGTGTTAAAATATATGGTTGAGTGCAATCAACTGCTGCCTGTTCCTTTATTTGCGTTGTGCTCTTGGTGAAAGTTGTTTGCTTATCTGTTTTGCCTGTGTTTTTCTTCAAAAGCTTAAAAAACCTAAGCTTGCGCTAACGTGGGAGCAGATGATATGAGTGATTCTCAAAAAACTTGCCGATTCTGAAAAAGTGTTTTTGAGAGCCGACGACGGTCAAACTCGCAGTAAGGGGGAAGACGCAAGTGACGGGGCAGACATACCAGGCTTCAAAGAGGTGACGGGGCGGACATAGAAGTGGGATGGGAGGTGACGGGGCGGACAAAACTTGAAATCGGAGATGGGGGTGACGGGGCGGACATAAGGATGGTAAGGGGGTGATGGGGAGGACGAAACTTGACA